CGATGGATAGCACCCCCCTCGCTAGCTGATGATGGACACCACCCCCCCCTCTAGCGAATGATGATGGATACCACCCTCCTCTCTAGCTGGTGATGATGGACCGCCCCCCGTTCTTCTGTAACAGACGCACGAGCCTACTGCAGGTACTTTTGTGCAACCACCACAAAAAACTATTCCACCTCCCGATCTAGTATGTCTGGTGATGTTTACAGGGATTGGGATATGCGCATTTGTTTCAGACAGAAATCGGTTTCCTTATTTCATCCCGAACCCCTATCACAGGACAAAACCGTGCCGCCAGGGATCGTGGAGCGCGTGAAGGCCAAGTCTGAGGCTGCCGGCATCAAGTGGGAACGGTGGCAGTACAATGACAACACCTGCAAGCCCCAGGTACTTTTTTTTTGTTGTTGCCATGCGTTTCTTTTTTGGTACTTTCGCTATTAGAGTGCGGGAATTCGGTGCCTTTGCCCTACATTGTCTGGTCTGATTCACTTGGTAGTACCCGGTTTTTGTTTCGGTCTGCGACGGCGGGGGTATGAAATGCGGTATGGCACATGAAGGAGTTTGGACAGAGGCAATCGTTCGGTGTTTGTTTTGCCTGGTCTGATACTCTTGCTTGTACCGTACCCCGTTTTAGTTTCGGTCTGTGACGACGGAGGTTTGAAATGTTGTGTCCAATATGGTCTGGAATACAGTGCTCCAGAGTGTGTGTGTGTGTGTGCTCGTCCCATCTATGCTGGCGCCGTTTACAGGCTTTTCGGCGTTCTATATGCTTGACGCATCAGCCGGGGTCACACAATGGGAAGGTCACCATGAAATATTGTGTGGAATGTGGAGGCATTGTGGGTCGAAGCCAAAGGGATACAGTAGAGGTCCCTGTTTAGTGCCGGTTGCCGGTATGGTGCCGGTGTTTTCGGCGGGCACACACTGGAACATGAAGTCGATCTGTACTTTGAATAGTGTGTGTTTTCGTCCTATTTATTATACCGACAGTCCCGTGGTGAGACGTGTACTACACTCTTTCAGCGTATGTAGAGTTCTTCACTTTTCAGTGTATTTTTCGGGCAACTACAACCATCCAGGGTCACACAGGAGGGGGCAAACACCAGGGCTTTTTTCTTCTTTATAGTTCTTTTCATGCCCCACCTTCCTCCTGCGGTGCGTGCCGAATTTTATTTTTATCGCGAGAAGGGTCCAGCCGTCCCTTTCCCTCGTCAACGGTGCTAACGTCGAAGTTTGGTACTTACGAGAGCTTGTCAGCTATATTTCGCTTTCACCCGCACATTTCGTAAATTTTTTACCCCATGGGGGTTCCCCCCGGTGTTTGCCACCGGGGTTGGGTTTTCGTCGCTTGGCAACGACGTTGTAAAACAAGCCAATTCACTTCGTGAACTCGGCAACCAGGTTACCGTTTTTTTTTTTTACCTTCGGTTTTTTTTTGGCGGTAACCATAATGGTGGTCGAGTAGATCATGTTGTGCGGGGTGGAGAACCCTCGCTCCGCGCAAGGGGGATGATCGCACCACGTTGTGTTAAAATGGTCAAGCACCCTCGAGGCAGTTACACAGTGCTTACAACTGTCTCTG